GCTTTGCCATCTCTGGGGCGAGGGGTGCGAGGTTGGTCTCCCGCGCTACGGGAGGTGGCGGCCGAGGTGGTTTCGTTAAGTGTTTTACGGGTAAGGGCGGAGGATATGAGAGCCCTTCAAAGCACGACCTCAAGCTCTCCGGAGTTCTAAAGACTTGGTGCAAGAGAAAACAACCAAAGCGTGCTACAGTGTGATGAGACCACCAGGCGTGCGGGGTGTCAGGAAGCCCCTTGCTCCCGGTCTCCCCGCCCTGAACGTGACCCCGTTAACAGGATCTGCTGGCTCCTTAAACTCTGCCTCCTGCTTTTGTTACCGTGGGTACCTGAATGTGACCCTCTTCTCGCTGACCCTGACTCTGTACAAAGTTTGCCTTGACTTGTCCAAGCTGCTAATATGCACCTAGGACGAGAAGGAGCAGAGCTGGCCTCTTAACTATTATTTCTATCTTTTCCAAAAGATTGGTGATCTCACATTAGGGGAACCTGAGTGCAGGATCTACTTTGCACTATCTTTGCAATTCTATGCATCGAAGATGATCTCACGATAAAAAGTTAAATATTTTGGAGGATGGCTATAATGAAAAAGATAATAGCAAGTTTAGGGGAGAATGGAAGCCTCATAGGCTGCTAGTGGGAATGTGAAATGGGACAGCCATTTTGGAAGATAGACTGGTAGTTCCTCAAAAGGAGGAACTATAGGGGCGCCTGGGTGGCGCAGTCGGTTAGGCGGACTTCAGCCAGGTCACGATCTCGCGGTCCGGGAGTTCGAACCCCGCATCGGGCTCTGGGCTGATGGCTCAGAGCCTGGAGCCTGTTTCCGATTCTGTGTCTCCCTCTCTCTCTGCCCCTACCCCGTTCATGCTCTGTCTCTCTCTGTCCCAAAAATAAATAAACGTTGGGGAAAAAAAAAAAGGAACTATAGAATTATTACATTAACCATACTCACCAGCAGGTCCACACCTGGGTATATATCCAAGAGAATTGAAAACATATGTCCACACAAAAACTTGTACACGAATGCTCGTGACAGCATTATTCATAAAAACCAAAAAGTGCAAATAACCCAAATATGCGTTAACCAATGAAGGGATAAGCAAAATGTGGTCTAGCCATAAAATGGAATATTATTTGTCAGTAAAGAGAAATACAGCAACACAGATGAACCTTGATAATGTTAGGCTTAGTGAAAAAAGTCACAAAAGACCGTGAACTGTATGATTCCATTTATACAAAATGTCCGAATAGGCAAAAATAGAGAGAGAGAATGAAATGGTTGCTGAGGGTTGGGAGAAACGGGGAGTGATTGCTACTGGTTAGGGGGTTTCTTTTGAAGGGTGTTGAAAATACTGGTGATAATTGTACTACTTTGTGAATACACTAAAAACCACTGAATTGTACACTTCAATTGGGGTGCTGTATGGTGTCTGAGTTATACTACAATAAAGCTGTTATGAGAAAGAAAAAGAAAGAAAAAGCATTGATGATTTGTTCATTGTTAAATTCCCAGTGGCGAACGTACAACCTGGCACGTATTAGATACCCAGTAAATATTTGTTGAATTTAAAATGTATGGATGTGTACATGTGTCATCTCCAACTGCTGCCCTTAGCACCCATACTTGTTGAGTTGAAAATGAATTTCTGATTTTTCCAAAATAGGAAGGCCTGTGGAAGAAAATACACATAAACCCCATGAGGGCAGGGACTGCATAATAGTGCCAAACTCATAGCAAATACTTATTAAGTATTTGTCAATAAATGTTGACTATGGGTTCTAACTTAAATTCTGGCTAATACAGTGTTTGGCCTACGCTTGTGAATGTTGAATTCAAGTCGAAAGATGAGGCTCTATAACCATTTTAATGGGTATGAGCCTCACTTAATCTTTGTGTTGTGAAGAAAAGAGCCCTAAGAGAGGCACAAAGCCCTGTGGGGCTTCAGATGTGGCAAGAGTCAATTTCGTTGGGGAGGTTAAAAGGGGCCTCAGAAGGGAGAGGACATTTGGGTCAAGTTGGCAGGTGAAGGATATACCCAGTGGAGGGAATTGAGGCAATAAAGGTGTAGGGGCAGGAAACTGAAAAATACATTTGAATAATCCAGTTGGGTTTTTCCAACTTTGCCCATACCTTAAGGAACTGGGTTAGCTGGCTCTGTAGGTGCTCTCTTACCACAGAGGAAATTTGAGCAAGCCTAAGACGTCATTTGTTGGATATACACAATTCGTACTTGGGCCATGTTCAGGTACTACTCTACCTCTGAAACCTTGTATGCCCATAACTCACACTCTGATGGTGACTTCTTTTTCATTTCTCTGTATGTTTGAACTATATGAATAATACACGAGTACATTCTCATCATAAAAGATCAGAACAAGACAGGCAATTCCAGCCATCCCACTTCTGGGTACATACCGAAAAGAACTGAAAGGGTCTTGAAGAGGTATTTGCACGCCTGTGTTCAGAGGAGCACTATTCACAACACCCAAAAGGTGGAAGCAACCTAAGTTGCATCCATGAATGCATCCATGCATCCATGAATGAATGACTGAATGAATGAACAAAATGTGGAATAAACATGCAATGGAATATCATTCAGGCTTAAAAAGAAATGAATTTCTGATAAAGGCTACAACATGAATGAACCTTGAAGACATTATGTTAAGTGAAATAAACCAGATACAAATGGACAAATATTGAAATGATATCACTTATACGAGGGAGCTAGAATAGTCAAATTCATAGAGACAGAAAGTGGAAAAATGGTCACCAGGGGTTGGGGGAAGAAGGAAATTGGAAGTTGCTATTTAATTGGTAAAGAGTTTCAATTTTTTCAGATGATAGAGTTCTAGAGATTGGTTGCACAACAATGTGAATATACTTAACACTGTTAACTCTATACTTAAAGGTAGTTTAGTAAATTTTGTGTTGTGTGTATTTGACCACAATTTGAAATTAATAAGAGGCATACATGGGGCACCTGGGTGGCTCAGCTGGTTGTAAGTCCAACTCCTGATTTTGGCTCAGGTCATGATTTCATGGATCGTGGGTTCAAGCCCCGTGGCAGGCTCTGTGCTGACAGTGCAGGGCCTGCTGAGCATTCTTCCTCTCTCTCTCTCTCTCAAAAATAAATAATAAACATTAAAAAAAAGATACGCATATAGGGAGTAGAACATGAAGGTTCCCTTTGCTCTCCTAGCCCCTCCCCTCCCTAGGCTGATCACTGATAACAATTTTTCCTTCCAGTGCTTTCTTCCTATGTACTTAAAATTTACACTCACTTTTTTACATAAATGGGATCACACTGTACATTTCCTTTCAATTTTTCGCCTTTTCATCCATTTACATTTTTTGTATTTCAATGAGTCCTCTGGTCACGTGACTCTGCAATGTGTGTATATATATATATATATTTTTTTTTTTTTCTTCCCCATCTATCAGCCTTCTTCCAATATGTGGTCTCTGGACCCAGGGACCCATTAAGTTGTCTACAGGCTATTTTATTGGGATGAGAAGCTTTATTCACACCTATTTCACAAACTTTAGATGTCATGTTAAGTATGATTTTCTCAGAAATCCTGTTATACTCTCAATAATCATTTTGCTCTTAAGGTTTAGGTTGCGTTAGCTCTACAGTTTGTCTCAGCTAATGTGCAATTAGTAGGGTGTGGACATGTTGTTTCACAATATGTGTTATTGTTTACGTGTTAAATTTGAAATGTATTGTGTTGTTGTATTTTAAGTTTGCAAAAGTAGATCAGTAATACAATTCAGGAATTCAATTAGTTAGCTGAAAGTTAATTAAATCAGTATGCTGAATACTTTTAAACTCAGGGGGGGAAAAGAACGTTGTAAGTGAAACATTAACCAGGAATCCAGTGCAAATAAATACACAGCGTGACTCTGTCTATGCTGGGATTGGGTAATCCACAAGCATGATGAATTATGATGAGCAGCTGAATGGGAAAATTACTAATAAGAAATATGATAAACCTCTAAGACATATGTTTTATTAAACTGGTAATCTATTTTGCCCTGGTTCCCAGTATATTATGCTATAAACCTTGGTCAAATAGTGGCACAAAGCCAATGAAGTCATAGTGCCATTAAAAATTTTTTAAAAAAATATTTACTTACTTATTTTAAAAAATTTTTTCTTAATGTTTATTTATTTTTGAGAGACAGAGAGACAGAGACAGAGCATGAGCAGGACAGGGGCAGAGAGAGAGGGAGACAAAGAATCCGAAGCAGGGCTCGAACCCACGAGCTATGAGATCATGACCTGAGCTGAAGTCGGCCGCTCAACCAACTGAGCCACCCAGGTGCCCTGTAGAGCCATTGTTAAGAAAACCTCAGTGGCCAATCTGATAATCAAAACAAATTTTTCTGGAAGAAGAGCTCACAGAATAGTGCTTCCTAATGACATTGATAACATTTACCCGTAAACATAAGGAGAAGCGGTCAAAACTATAAAGGCATCCTGTAAGGTTGTATTTTTTAAAGCCAAAACAGTCACATTCTGGCTAAGAAGCTTTTACAGTCAGTCATAATGTTAATAATGATAAATTTGCTTGGTAAGAAAGCTAAATAAGCTTTTGGCAAAATTCCTTTATCAAAAGATATCATTGGGGGAAAAAGATACTGTTGGACATTGCATAATATCGATGGTATAGAAAGTGGATGAGCACGTTGTGTGGAGTTGTCGAGGGCTGCTGGAGAAAGTCATCCAACCATGCTAGGACCTGGAAATCTTTCTCATTATTTCCCCCTCATTTTCAGTGATCTGATGAATTAGTTGTCTATTTCTGCATAACAAATTACCCCCCAAACTTAGAAAATTAACACAACAGGGGCGCCTGGGTGGTTCAGTCAGTTAAGCGGCCGACTTCGGCCCAGGTCATGATCTTGGTCTGTGAGTTCGAGCCCCGCGTCGGGCTCTGTGCTGACAGCTCAGAACCTGGAGCCTGTTTCAGATTCTGTGTCTCCCTCTCTCTGACCCTCCCCTGTTCATGCTCTGTCTCTCTCTGTCTCAAAAATAAATAAACGTTAAAAAAAAATTAAAAAAAAAAAGAAAATTACAACAAATATCTCACAATTTCTATGGGTCAGAAATTTGGGGCCATCATGGTTGGGTGGTTTGGACTCAAAGTCTCTCATGAAGTTATAGTCAAACCGTCCAGAGGGACTGCAGTCTTATCTGAAGGCTTAACTGAAGAACGTTCTGCTTCCAAGCTCCACTCCTGTGGCTGTTGGTAGGTCTCAATTGTTCTTGGGTTATTGGATTGAAGCCCCAGTTCCTAGCTGGCTGTTGACTCGAGATCTCCCTCAGCTTCTTGCCATGGGGACCTCTCTTTAGGGCAGCTTGCAACATGGCAGCTCGCTTCCATCAGAGCGAATGATCTAAGAGAGAAAGAACCAGCTCAAGACCAGGATCACCAACGCATCCTGATTTTGCATTGAAATTCCTGCATCTTTGGTCCCAGGTAAAGCAGGATGGTTGGTTGTTCTATCACGACAAAAGTCATAGTGTTTTTTGTAGCCTAATCTCTGAAGTGACATAGCATCATTTCTTCCCTATTCAGTGAGTCCAGTACAGACCCAAAGGAAGGGGAATTAAGTTCTACTTTTGAAGGGAAGAGTATCAAAGAATTTGTGGGCATATTTTTTAAACCATCACATCTGGAGTCCAGTTTCATGCAGAAAAGAAAGTATTACAGAGAAACTCGACTTCCTAACATACTCCCTATCCAACTTCTCTGCTTCCGTAAACACCCCTTCCTCCTCTTTTCTCTGTCAGTGAAAGAGGCATCCCTCCTCCTGTCTAAAGCTAATCTTTCCACCGGCCAGAGTTTATCTCTTCCACCTCCTCAAAACTTTTCCCCCTTAATCACTCCTTCTCTCCCTCAATTTCTTCCCCTTAACTTTCTATTTTCCTAGTATATGATCATGTTCACATATATCTTAAAAGACTTTTAGGCCGAATGCTTTATGGAGGTATAACTTACCTATAGTAAAACGTGAAATAATATGCATACAGCTTAATGAATTTCAAAGGATACACATATCCTTTCATCATCTATATTCTTCTTCAATTCACTGAAACCTGGTTTCTGCCTCCATCCTGTGACTGAACGCCATAAAATAACCTTTTAAGATGCCTTTCGGCCTGTTGGGTCCCCCTTTCAGTTTGCCTCCTGCCCCTCTGGCTTGTTGTTCTCAGTCTCCTTCATGGACTCTTTAGCTTACTCCTTCGACGGTGAAATCCTGCACCACTTCTCAGCCTACGACGCCTCTGGGTGATTTTATCTGTTCTCATGACTCCAATTACCTTCTCTATGCATTCACTTCTCCAATATCCATAGCTCTGATCTCCTCCTGGATGTCAACTTTTTATGTCAACTGCTTCTGGACATCTGCGCTTGGGTGTCCAACATACACTTCAAACCCACTGTGTACCAAATGTCACATCTTCCCATCCTCACTACTCTCCCACAAAAGACCTGTTCTTGGGGCACCTGGGTGGCTCAGGCGGTTAAGCATCCGGCTTCGGCTCAGGTCATGATCTCGCAGTTTATAAGTTCGAGCCCCACGTTGGGCTCTGTGCTGACAGCTCAGAGGCTGAAGCGTGCTGCAGATTCTGTGTCTCTCTCTCTCTCTCTGCCCCTCCCTAGCTCGTGCTCTCTGTCTCTCTCTCTCTCAAAAATAAATAAACATTAAAAAAAAAAAAAGACCTGTTCTTGGGCACCACCCAATCACAAAAGTAAGAAATCTAATTGTCATCCTTGATTCTTCCTTCTCACTCACTTGCCAAATCCAGTTAGTCACCAATCTTGTTATTCTACTTTCTGAATATCTCTCTTATTCATCCACTTTCTCCGACTCCACTGTCACTGCCTTGGTTCATTCTACTTGTCCTGACGGTTGCGATGAACCCCTAACCAGTCTTTCAGCCTGAAGTCTTGCCCCCCTGTCTTGCCTCACTCCAATCTCTTCTCCACACTGCAGCCAGGGTCCTTTATTCAAACCGTAAGTTTGATGATGTTACTTCCTCACATAAAACCTTTCAGTAGATCTTCCTGACTTTCAGGATATGGTCAAATTCCTTAGCATGCTACAAAGGGCACTTTGTGTTCTGGTCCCTGCCTACCTTTCCCTCTGGTCTCACTCTCCTCACAATTGAGAGTATGTACTTCCCCGAATGCTGCATATTCTTGCTTTTGTGTCCTCGGCTTCCTCCGCCTGAAAAGTCTTCTATCTCACCCGACACTTTTTATTCCTCCTCGCCTTTCAAGTTGAGCTCGTGCATCATGTCCTCCCGGAAGCCTTCATGGCACTTCTACCTGCATACTCACCATCTAATTATGTACCTGTCGCTCTCACCAGACTATGAGTTTCCTGGGGGCAAGGGCCTTCTAACCTATCTTTTTACCCCCAGAATATTACGTGAAATAAACACACAAAAGAATTGTCAAATGATGAATGGAGATGTTAAGGCCCGGGAGGCTCAGCTCACCCAGAGACAGGTGGATCAAGCCAGACTCTAAGGATAAGATCACCTTCCCTCAGATAGATGGGGATGTTGGCTCACAACGTGTGCTCAAGGCTGAAAGAGGGTTTAT